GGCCTACTTGGGGAAGCCCTCCCCTGGTAGGCCCGGTCCACCCTGGGAATGCCTGCTTCGTTGGGGGCGGGGGACCTTCGAGAGGCCTCCAGCAGCGGCAATGGCAGCAGCGAGGGACTTCTGAGAGGCCTCCGGCAGCGGCAAGGAAGCCCTCGGAGGCCTCAGGCAGCGGCGATGGCGCCGACTGGGAACCCCTGGAAGCCTTCAAAAGGTAAGTTCTATTTATTTTAATTTTTTGTGTGTGTGTGTGTGGGGGGGGTTCTTGGGCCGGTTACGGATTAAATGGTTTTCAATGCATTTCTATGGGAAATGAATATTCGACCTACGGACACTGTTCCAATACGGATTAATTCTGTAGGTTGAGGGCCCACTGTATAAACAGCCAAGCTCTGGGGCCAATCCCCCATTGCCAGGACTTACTGGAGGATGCACCAAGCTCCCAAGACTGAAAAAAAAATGTGTGTGTGTGTGGCTCTAAAAGTAGTTGGATGTCTACTTCTGATCTGGTAAACTCAGTAGTTTTTAATACTACTCCAGGGGGAGCCTGCTACTTGTTTGACAACTGAGCCCTCACACTGAGACGCTTCTAAGAGTGTCAATCCATCATTGTTCCCCTCAGCAAGGGGAGGTCTGTGAGGGCCCCGGGGCTCACAGAAATAGCCTTTGGGGGACTGCATGTGCTCCATAGGCCACACAATTCCTACCCCAAATGAACAAGCACTCTGACCGTGAGGATGTCACTTATGCACTTTTGTTTCACTCTGAAGAAAGACAGTTGCTCACTAGTTGTTATCATAGTGCTGCTGTAGGCTGTGTAATTCAAAAGCCAATCGAGGCAGAAAATTAAGAGCCTGGAACATCTCAAAAAGATTGCTGTCCAATCTCTGCATGATATTGCAAGTCATGCCCATTTTATTCCAACAACAGCTGTAACCAGTAAAGGTTTCTTTCTCCTGATTACACCTTGTAATCAGGAGAATGGAACACCTCGTGTAACTTAAATTCAGTCCAGTCCCAGGAAGTGTCTAGTTGTACCTACTGGATTTGCAGAGAATAAATCTTTGCTCTTTTCTATGGAGTAGTTCTGTGGTAAATGGGAAATCTGCAGTAACAACACACTTCTGAACAGTTTCACAAATGTAACATCACCAGCTCATGAAGGGCCTTGATGTCAAAATGTTACCATGGACAAGATATACGATTGCCCTGGTTTATCTGCACTGTTTCCTAACGCTCATATTTCTTGTACTGTTTCCCCCTCTGATAAGATGTCAATCTGACCTGTCTGTGTGTTGGGAATTTTTCACAAGTGTTCTAATGAGAACACCTCTTCCATTATTCCTTTAGCAGTTTAGCACGTACTGTAGCCCCTTCCTCCCTGTCCTTCAGGCTGAAGGGAGATTGCTGGCTGTTGCTGGCCACTGCTCCCAGTTAGTCCAACCAGGAGGACTAGGTCTTTGATTGTTCAAGTCAGCTTGTAGACCTCTGCCAAAATCAGCCCCAAATTTACTATTCTGCCACTTTGTGCGATGGTGGTGAGGATCATTCAGCATATTGAGATGTGAAAGCTTTCTTTGCGTTGATAACCTACTGTATATTTTAAGATCAATAAACCACTTTCTTCCCTGGTGTCAAACCTCTGTTTTGGGGGTTCTAACTGCAGATGACTCCCACCCCACACCAAATTAAGACACAACCCTTCAGCAATATGGAGAGTGTCATGATGACCTCACTCCTCAGAAGACTTGACTTCTATACCCGATTATCTCCATACTGAAGGAAATTGTCCCATTCATTAATTTCTTCATAATCCTATAAATAGTAACTGTGACACCTTAAAAATAGATCTTTCAAGACCAACAGGATCATTGCAATTATTTAATTTAATATGTTTAAAGCATATTCTTTTATTAATGGCGTATATGATGATTCTACTGTTAATGTCTTTGGCCCTTGAGGTGTTACTCTTTTTTTTAAAAAAATCCAACTCAAAATATTCCATAAAAGGATAGACACTATCCAAAAATAGGCACACATTTTCCAGTTTGATAATTATGCATTTGGATTGCTTGCAATGTTTGTGGTAAAGAACAACTTCCAAAATTACCAGAGCACCACTGCTGAGCAAAATCATGAAGACAATAAAGGTCTCAAACCAATTATGTTCCACTATTTTGTAGCAGGTTTTCCGAAGATTCCACCACATTTTCCCTTTTCCATCTTCTACGCTGACTCGACAGCATGTGAACCTTCGCATACAGTCTGGCAAAATAAGGCGGGAGGAGGTGACATAGGTTATTCTGCAGAAAAGTCTTACGAATGATTTAAATCAGGGGTCTCAAACTCAATTTACCTGGGGGCCGCTGGAGGCAGAGTCTGGGTGGGGCTGAGCCACATCAGATTTTCCACCAAGCGGAGCAAGAGCCCGAGGAAACTGCCCAGGAGTTTCCTTAGCCAGGCGGGCTGGCTGGCAGGCTGCAGTTCCGGTTGGAGAGTGCAAGAGGCGCTGTCTTGGGAGAGAGCTGGAGAGCGAGGCTTCTTTTGACTCTTGACAGCAGAGGACGCATGGGCGCTTCAGGGTGCAGGCAAGGCGGGTGGCACAAACTATTGTCCAGCGGGCCGCAAATGGCCCCCGGGCTGCATGTTTGAGACCCCTGATTTAAATAATCAGTTTCAAGTGAAATATATGCTTAAAACAGTTTGCCTAATAAGATTTAAGCCCTCACTTGGTATGCCATATGACAGTGCACATAACGGGCGCCTCATTTGGGAGAAGAAAAGATACATCCACTTCAGCATGTACTGCCCTTTGTCTTGTTTCTCACCTTTTTTACATGCCATGAAATCTGCTTTTTTGGAATACACCTCTATAGTGCAGGCGAAATCCAGGGTTACACCTACCAAAAATGATTCCACATAATTAAGTGGGATTGACAAGCCCTGTTCATTTCAATGGGCCTAGTCTAGGTAGGGATAACACTGGATTTCTGTGCTGTATGTAAGCTTGCCTGAGTTTGAATAAAAGCCTCTGAACTTTCCATTTGCAAGGGATAACTGTAAGGGGCAATTCTGACGCAGGAGCAGATGATGAATCTTTCCACATCTTTGCTTCTGTAATATCTCAGAAGAACATAAAGTATTAAAAACAACAGCCAAGGTAGAAAAATTGATCAATGTGGATGAATCAGTAAACTGCCCAGGATTTCTGAGTCCCATCTGCTTTGCAATAAAGGCAACAATAAAATTACCCTCTTCTCCTACCCTACAATACTCAAATATCCTCAGACAATCAGCAGAGGATTTTTGTGTTGAAAGAGTGTGTACTCAATTCTGTTGAAAATGTTTAATTCTAAGTGTGCCTCATTTGCACCAAGCTCAAGACGGCAAATCACGTGATTCTCAGAAAAAGATACCAAGTAGATTCTACTAGCCTGAAGTGTCCCTAGCACAGGAAAGGAAACCCTGAGCGTTCCCCAAGACTTCTGAGCCACTCACCTTCAGTAAAACAAGCCTCTGGTTCCAGGGATTCTTCAGGTTCAGCTTCAGGCTGCTCTCCTATTTGGGGAAGGCCAACATCAACTGTGCTACCTTCAGATGAACTAGATGCATTTAATTTCTGCAAATAAAGACACCCCCCCCCAAAAGGCTTAATGAGTCATTTATTGGTTGTAGTACTGGATTACACTTAATGCATTCCAAAATGCTCTCCATTTATTTAGGAACTCTAAAACAAAGAGCAGAACTCATGTATAAATGTAATGTGAGTTTGCTGCTGTTGTCGTTTTTAATATCAGGTCAGAAGAATATGATATGGTATTTATATTCGTTTTCCCCATGGCATCAAACATTTTCAGTGTGTTCCTACAAGGAACCACAAATTTGAACCAGTGTGCTAATTGGCTGAGACATATATAGATCTGAAAATTCTGAGGTAGTTTATTTGCAGGAGGAAGCGCTAGCTTGTGGTTTCAATCATGTAATACAGAGAGCACAATGAATTGCAATGTGTTCAATGCCCCGCCCTCTCGCAATTATGACCAAACCAACTAAAAGCTGAAGGGAGTATTTTCATGTCTAATGCGGGTAGAGTATGCATAGGCAGCAAACTGTATTGAACATGTTTCTTCCCATTGACATGAAAACACAAATTATCAGTGTATAAGTACTTCTATGTTTCTATAGTTTCAGAAGGAAAAGCAGCATATTAAATCCAGAGCAGGAGCCATTATTTCGCATTCTCTTTTGCCAATGCACTTGCACAACTGACTGTGCATTTTGAGTCTACTTTTTATTCTTGCATGGTACACATATGTGTTCTCTTACTACGTCATGAAAAACACTTTTCTTTAACCACACCTATGAAAGTAGAAACCTATTTTGGAGGGAAAGGCGTTATGCCAGCGATAAAGAAGGATGTCAGCCAAACTTCCAGCTCGTCTCCTAACTCTCTTACCAGAACCAAATGGGGTGCCACATGCTTAAAAGTAGACAAATATGAGTACCATAGTGAATAAAAGTAGTGTTGATCATTGCATTCGGTAGCCTTATACAATGTTATTACCATGTATAACATCCATAAAATGGCTGCATTGGTAAGTAGCTATCTTTATGTGGAAAATGATATAAGCAGATGGTGAATAACGCATACCTGTGTTAATGTATTGTTATAAAAGATAATTCTTCACATATCATTCCAAACAAAAGCTATAGGGCTTATTTACTGGAATCAAGCATTTTTTAAATTGCATGAACTTTAACCAGCTTAAAATATTAGTCTGACGAGGAAAATACTTTACCAGTTTTGCTCAGTTCATTTGAGATTTAAAAAAAAAAACAGCAGAAAGATTTGGTTGCCAGTTTGAAGTTAGGAAAGGGTTTCAGATGATCCGAGTGATTATTACCAATTCAGAAAATGACCGGCTCCATTTTTGTTCATTTCAGGTCGTTCAGCCAACCTCTGGTTAAAAATAATTTCATTTTTTTCAGAAATTGTGTTTGTCCATTTTGGTTGTTCTGTCAATTTCTGAGACACTTGAATAGCTTTTACTGTATTGATTTCATGAGATTAAAGCTTCTTTCTTCCCAATCCCTGTTTCTGTAGGTGTTTTAGGAATAAATGATGAAATTTTATGTGTGTGGCCGTGGGAGAAAAACCCACAGAACTATATCAAAGGTAATCGTGTGGCTCATCTGAGTCCCAAGGTTCGAGGGACTCAATATTTTTTATGTTAATTTTATATTTTTAAAAGAAATATAGATTAGATTTTTAAAATGAATATTAATACCAATAAAGAAAATAAATATTATTTCTTGCAGAACAACAATTGTCCTTTGTTTCCTGATATTATAAAGCTTTATCAAATAACTTCCTTGGTACAATATTCACAGATGTGAAATATAATGAAAAATTAGCACTACACTTTTTGCATATTGCTACTTCTAATGGCAAAAGGGACTTTCTACAATGAGCAAGCCAAAGTAGTAGTAATAATAAAGTAAAATCAGAACTTCCGTTTTAGTTTTCTCTTAAAACTACTTATTTAGCCCAAGTAGCCTTCCTAGGGCTGACAAATAGACTGTGCAGTCAAAGCCATCATAAAAATGTTCGGAGTACAGTAATTTTATTCAGATTGATGGCTGGGAAAGGCTAACATACTTGGAGAGTCATTGTGTAATGTCCTTTGATTTGGGACTTTCTAAGGAGCAACATTATTTGTGAAGAGTACATACATATAAATCTTCACTTTTTTACTTGCAGATGTAAACAAAAACAGGTTTTTGCTCAACTATCTTAAAAAACCTCCACATATCCCACATAAATGCAATCTTCATAAATGACATTCTATACTGTGCCTAAAAACTGGCTCATGAGAACAAAGCAGAGGATCTGAAGTTTGATTCCTCTGAACTCAAATGGCTTGACATCTGAATAAACAAGTTTAGAGGTAAATAGTCACGCAGTAGAGTTATGCATGCCTAAATCTCAGGGAACTTAATAGCACACAGGTGCACAATACATAATTTGATAAATTAATACATCAGAGGCATGAATGACTCTTTGAAATGTATTGACTAACCCGTTCTTTCTCATGGGTACAGCCAATTCATATATACAATGGGTGGCACATGAAGATTAGATTCCCTTCTGGCAATTAATGAAGCCGTTCATGAACATGTATGTGCATTAACTGGAGATTCTATGTCCATTGAACATTCTGGACTAAGAAACAGATTCTCATCACATTTCTTTATGTAAGCAATTCATGCTTCTTTAATAAATATTGTAAGTTAAAATCCTGATCGCTGTTTGTATGGTTTGAAATTATGTAACATTTTGTGTATATCACTCCATCCCACACCATTTTTGTAGCATTAATGCTATTAAATAGCAGAGCAAAAAGTTAAAACCAAATCAAAACTCATGAATCTTTTTCAGAAAATAAAGCAGTTGGTTGTCTTTGGACTGCTCAGTTTTTAAGGAAAAAAGTTTTATTACGTCTATGTATTGCAATATGAGTAACTTAGTGCAAAGGGTAAGCAAATATAAATCTGATAATATTGTTACTGATTTTAGTCCTTGAAATCATGTACAGGTTATTCACCAAAGAAGTATGTTAGGTATTCTACTTGCGAAGAAAATGGCCAGGCAGAAGTCTGAGGAATCATAGTTAAAGATGTAAACATTCCGCATTTATGTTGGTTGGGGTACATACTGTACAGTGGAACCTCTACTTACAAACGTTCCTACCTACAAACTTTTCAACTTACGAACAGCTCTAGCCGCAAAATTTTGCCTCTATTTTTGAACGGAGCTTCAACGTATGAACGAAAAAGGCAGGGAAAAGGGTGGGAAATTAAATTTGCTAACAGTTGGTGGCAAAGAGGCTGCTTCTTTGTAGAACTTTCACCCCAACGGCTAGGAAAAGGGAGGCTCAGCCTCCCGGGGCTTCCACTGCTGCTGCTACCACTGCCGGGAGGCGAGCCGCCGGACCATCCTGGCTGGGCTCAGCCTCCTGGGCTTCCAGTGCCGCCGCTGCAGGCTTTCCTGGGGCTCGCCGGAAGCGCCGCCTTTCTCTGCCACAGTGCGGGTTGTCCGCTGCCATCGAAGGCTTTCCCGGGGCTCACCACAACTGCTGCCTTTCTCCGCCGCCATTCGCTGTCAGGCCAGGGTTTCCACGCCATCGACTCAGGCTTTCCTGGGGTAGACAGGGCCTAAGAAGCCCTGGTAGAGCAGGGCTTCCCCTGGTAGGCCTGGTCTACCCCAGGAAAGCCTTTATCGGCGGTGCGGAAACCCTGGCCCGGCAGTGGGTGGCGACGGCTCTTGTGGCGAGTCCCGGGAAAGCGTCCCATTGTGGCAGACAACTCGTGCTGTGACAGAGAAAGGCATCGCTTGCGGCGAACCCTGGGAAAGCCTCCGATGGTGGCAGAGAAGCCCTGGCCCGGCAGCGATGGCTGGAGCCCGGGTGGCCTCCTGGCAGCGGCGGTTGTGGCAATGGAGGTAAGATGCTTTTTTCTTTTTTAATTTTTTTCCTTTTGCAGGGTGGGATTGGGCTGGTGGGGTTATATTTCTGTTTATTTTTGGATTTATTTATTTTTTGCAGCCCCAGGGGCTTGCAGTGTTTTATTTTGGTGTGTGTGTGTGTGTGTTTTCTTCAGCCGGAACGGATTAATCGGTTTTCAATGCATTCCTATGGGAAATGGTGCTTCTACTTATGAATGTTTCAACTAACGAACATCGTCTGAGACAGATTAAGTTCGTAAGTAGAGGTTCCACTGTATCTACATTCTACCAACTGTAAATTAAACCTATTCATTTTGCTATCTCCTTAAACATTTAATGTTTATTGTCATGGGTAGCAGTATCAATAGTAGTAGTAGTACTAATATGATGATGATAAATTTGATTTTGCATAGGACTCAAACAATAACGGGGGGGATGCACCCCATGGCTTATGTAGCTTACACAGAGACAATGGTACAATTAAAGCTGGAGGGTGCTATCTTTGTAGCTTTTCATCCACTTGACAAGCCAACCCTGATAGGAATATTGTACATAAACCATCTTTCTTCAAAGATTTTAATTGGAGCCAGCGTAACCCACCAAAGCATCAGAACCAAGGATTAGAAGAAGATCAGCATACGGCAGATTTACAGTACACTCTGCATCCTGGACTTGTTATTACTCTCTTCCCTTTGCATGGGGCAGATCACATAGGCTGAAATGTAAGAATGCTTTCAGTATTTTTTGAATTATTAATTTTGGGATTTCTATGCACGGAAGCCGTCAGATAAACAGGCAACACCAGCATTTGCTGTCAAGGTCCAATGTATGACAGGAAATGCTGGCTGAATAATCATTAATATCTATGAGGTGTGTTTTCAGTTCATGTGACCTGACACTTATCATTCCCCAGCCCCTTATCAAATCTGAAGGATGGGTGGGGCAGTAGTTGTGATTATCTGTCTCAGCAACCACATTCATCAGGAGTCCTAATGCAACACAATCTCCAAAACCCCAAAAAGGATAATCTTATAAAAGAAAATGTGTGTATTCCGTACACACCGTCTCAGTAAAAAGTTATAGGAAATTCATTCATGTTTTCTTTGTTAATCTAA